ATCCGCCTCAGCCTCCCAAAGTGCTGGGATTACAGGCTTGAGCCACCGCACCCGGCAGTGTTTCCACATTTTGAGTCTCTTTCAAGGAAAGGACACAGCCCACTGAGGGGACTAACAAGAGCGCGCCAAGGCTGGGAAGCTGGCTTCCCGAAAGTGGGTCTAAAGGGGTTTGCAGCCACCTGGAGGGGTCAGCATTGGGTTGTATGTGTAAGCGCTGGGATTGCTGGGAAGCTGTTTGTTAGAAACAAGGCTGATGGGACTCCTTGCCATTTCCGGGTGACTGGGAAGAGAGGAGGCTGCTGCCTAGTGACCCGGCTCCTGGGTTGCTCAAGGCCCCAGGGAGTGAGGGGGGGTGGTGGCACGCCCAGTCTTTCTTGCAGGGAGGCTCCGGAACTGCTTATCAGGGCTCATGTCCTGGGCCACAAGGTTGAGCGCTGGCTCAGTGTGGACCTGGCGCTTGGTGTTCCTAAGTCCTGGCTTGTGACCTTGGCCTGCTCGCCTTCCGTAGGCCTTGGTATTTTTGTAGGTGACAAGGGATGGATTAATTCACCTCTGCCAGCTTCTCCAGGCACAGTGAGGGGAGCATCTGTTCCTGCTCACGGAGGAGCTTTGGGTATTTCTCACAGTCGTCACTCAGGAAAGGCCCAGCAGAAGTACCGGGCTCCAGGCTGAGCGTTTCACCCACGTCATCTCCTCGCCACAAGCCCGTGAGGTAGTGCTAGTACTGTCTCCATGATGCAGAGGAGGAGAGAGCAAGGGACTTGTGCAAGCCGAGAGGCAAAGAAGGGGCAGACATGACACGAGCCGGACGCAGACCCTGATATGAACTTGGCTGCCGCCGCCATCTGCTCTCAACACCAGCTTCTGTTATTCTCAGGCCCACCCAAGACACTCTGGGGAAAGGCCTAACCTAGAATCACAGCCCCCCCTGAGTTCTACAGAATGTAGGAAAGTATCCTGCTACCGTCACATCCTGTCAGAGTGGCCTCCAGAGGACCCCGTCACCTCCAGGACTGGGCCTGATGCCCTGAGATTTGCAGCAGGGTTTCTTGACCTCTTTGTAACCCCCAATGGGAACTGTCACCCCACACACATTCTGACAGGTGACAGGCCTCACTCGACCCTTGGTTGAGAATTACTGTGAACAGAAGACGGCCTTTCACTGGAATATTCCCATTGGTGAGAAGGATTTTTCTCAAACTTTACTTCCAGAAGTTTGTTTCAAAATTTTTTAAAATTTCTAATCTTGTGGCTAATAAAAAAGAAAAAAAGATTTTTTTTTTTAGAGACAGAGTCTCACTCAGTCACCCAGGCTGAAGTGCAGTGGCGTGATCATAGCTCACTGCAGCCTCGAACTTCTGGCCTCAACGCACCCCCCCACCTCAGTCACTTGAGTAGTGAGGACTAGAGGAGCGTACAATCGTGCCCAACTGGGAAATTATACTATTCCTTTTTTCAAAAAGTATCTATTATGCACCCACTCTAGTCCAGGCTCTGGGGACTATGTTAAACAAGAGAAAATCCTCACAGATGTTGCTCTAGGCCAAGCTTCTGCAGCCAGAAGAGATGGGAATGCAGGGTCTATGGGGCTCCTGACGGGGTCTGACCTTCCCCTTGGCCCAAATTTCAGTCCCTCTGCCATTCCCAACAGGAGGCTGCCCCACCCCGCTAGAACTCATTCAGTGATGAAAAGCTCCCCCTGCGGCCCCTGACTTCTGTCCCCCATCCCCTCAATGGTTCTTGTGTGGAGCTGAACTCTGTCTCACTTCAGCCTTCACTGGGGTCTGAGTCTGCCATCTGCTCCTCTTCACATGACTCGAGGGACCCAGCTCCCTATCCTGGCCCTCAAAATACACGGGGGAAGAAATGTGTCATCTGCTTTTCTACATGGTTGTCACCCGCAGGGGAGGAGGGTCCTAGACCCAGGTTGTGGCGCTCATGTGGATGCCTGCAAGCTTCAGAGAACCTGCCCAGGGCCAATGTGCGGGAGTGCGGAGAGGCCCCTGAAGCTCTGCTGTCCCACTTGAGGGACCCAGAGAGATGCAGCATGCGCTAGGCAGAGAGCACCGCATGTAACCTGCCAAAATGCTTGGGCTCCCTGCCTTTGTCACCATTCCCATGCCACAGGCCCAGTGAATCCCCAGGGGAGAGATAATGGGCTGCTGTTTAAAAGAATACAATAATACAGCTCGGTCAGTCTCTTGTGTCAACACTCCAGCTAAATGAGAGGCTGAAGAGCAGGCCAGCCAGCCAAGGAAGGTCAATATTGACTCAGGCCCTGCTCCTGCACCCAGCTCCAGCCCGCACGGACAGTGCTGCGGTCCAGCAGCAGCTCAGGCCAGACTAGCCTCTGACCTCTGTTTACTGAATCTCGGATCCCAACCCTTGCCTCTCTCCTCCTGGTACACAGCGCTGGGCTTTCCTGGGAATGCGGTTGTTTCTAAGGGAAGACCTGAAGAATGGCTTCCTGGGATGGCTGCAAGCCAGGGACCCTCTCACTACCTCAGATTCTCAAAAGCCTCTGCACACAGAGGTCTGGGCCCTCAGCATAGGGACCTCATTGCCTAGCTAGAAGGAGCCTCTGGCATCCCTAATCACAGGACTGCCTCTTTTCTATAGCCCTTAACTTTCCAGACCCCTATTTCACCTCCTCACTTTACATTCACAGCACCACTGTGAGTTGAGCTGAACCTGCTTTGCTGGGCCCATTTTAGACAGCAGGGAGCTGGAGAGAGGAGGAGACAAGAGAATAGGAAATGCTTATAAAGTGCCTAACACATGGAGATACTGTGCTAGGTGCTTTTTATTAGGGCATCTAATGGCTAATTGTAGCTATTGCCAGCTCCATTTTACAGATGAAGAAACTGAGGCTCAGAGAGAAGTAATTGTCCAAGATCGTAAGTGTGGAGCTGGGATTCAAAGCCAGATCTCTCCGACTCCAAACTCCAAGCTCATCCACAATGCTCAGTGCCCAGAGAAGTCAAACTACCTGCCCTGCATCACACAGCTATGCAGAATAGAGATGGGACTGGACGCTCACGCCAGAGGCTCCCTCTGTGCCAGGCAACACTGACGGTTCAACGGTCACCCATGAACACATAAACATGTGTGACATGTGCAGGGGGCACAGCTGTTTCTGATGCCCAGGCCAGATCCTATTCCAGAAATGGCCCCTTCCCTGGGTTACCATGAGGTCCAGAGACCCTGAATTAGGGTCTCCCACTATTTGCCCTCCAAGGTCCCTTACTTTTACTTTACTCCTATAGCTTTGCTCTAATACCCTCTGACAATAGATTGCCAAACAGCCAGACTGCCCTCAAAGTTGTCCGGGACGGGAGACCTTGTAGTGGTTTCATCCTTCCCAACACAGCAGCTGGAGGCTTACCGGGCAGCCAACTGCCAGAGTTACTCCCCACGACCACCTTAGGAGGAAGGCAGTCGCATTCCCATTTTACAGATGAGGCCATTTAAAAGTGTGTAGAGGCCGGGCGCAGTGGCTCAAGCCTGTAATCCCAGCACTTTGGGAGGCCGAGGCAGGTGGATCATGAGGTCAAGAGATCGAGACCATCCTGGTCAACATGGTGAAACCCCGTCTCTACTAAAAATACAAAAAATTAGCTGGGCATGGTGGTGCATGCCTGTAATC